ACATATTAATTATTACTCAAATTATTATTTCAGTCGTTCTTAATATATCAAGCGTCTGTATGCAAATAAAAGCCAAAAAATATGGTTTTTATCATTAAATGAATATATAGCCTAAAGATACATAACCAGGTTTCATTCGCCCGGGCCACTGGGCAGTTGCCCCTTTTATTACGTTGTTAGACACTATCGTGATGTAATGAATTAGTTAGGCTTCTCATGTTGTCATGTTTGTTTTTTTATGTCTTGGACTCGCTTACAGCATTTATTGGTAACGTAGATAATAAAATATACAGTGTTTATTTAATTAAGTACGAAAATTTCACCCTGGTGGAATTAGAAGGAGTTACAGGAGTCATCTCGTGTTGTCTTCACGCGTTAGATTAGTATACAAAAGTTCAGTGGTATTCGAGGTGTTAGTTAATTATAAGGGCAATGACCTTATTGGTACAAGTACAGTTTATATATATATATATACATTCATGTGTATATGTAAGTACACGTACATATATACATTAAAACATAACCTCTTCTTTATATTATATTTTTTTATTCTTACCTCGCTTGTTATGAAATGATTTGGTCAGCATTCTACCGGTTTATAAGTAAATGTATACGTTGTCTATTTATTGATTTATTATATTTGTCAAACACATGTTTAATCCAAGAACGAATATACACCTGGTATAAGAAAACCGCCTCAAGTGTATTAAGCGTTTATTGACCCAAACAGAAGGATCCCTATATGTGTAGCTTTAACTTGAAACCGAAATTTCTAACTTAAATGACTTGAAACAAACAAATCGTATACAGCTACAGTTACACGGAAAAATATCCACACATTGATGTTTAATTATGCCGTCGTTGGAGGATTTCATATACAGCTACAGTTACACGGGAAAATATCCACACATTGATGTTTAATTATGCCTTCGTTGGAGGATTTCATATACAGCTACAGTTACACGGAAAAATATCCACGCATTGATGTTTAATTATTCCGTCGTTGGAGGATTTCATATACAGCTACAGTTACACGGGAAAATATCCACACATTGATGTTTAA